CTAGAAGATTAGCAAAGATTGGATGTGGAGCTGATCTTTTTATTTTTGATACAAATCTAATCTTGTATTGTTTTGTGATAAAGACGGACGATACGGACACGACTGTCCGTCTTTATCGCTCTTGCGTCTAGCACAGAAGAGAACCACAAAATCGTGCTCATTACCTACCGAATAAGAGGCCTGTCTTTTTGGCTGAACTAGTCGTACACTAGTTCACAGTCTATCTTTCTTTTTTGCACTGGAAGAAGAAAGATAAACTCTGAACTAGTGCAGCCAGTTCAGTTAAAAAGAACAGATCCAAGCTTACGGCTAAAACGCGGCCATGACTACTCTCAGGCTTCTCTCTGATATCTAAATTGTTCTCTGCATCTCTAATATGAAACAGAAATACATAATTGTAACGTTGTAAAAAGAAAGAAGACGGAAGAGAAATGAAAAATCGAAAAATACTTAGATACAAAGAACAAACAACATAATGATGAACAATCATAATCGATGCGCATGCTCCAAATATTCCCGTGCTCACGATTGGTGGCGGTTCATGCTAGGTTCATGCTAGGTTCATGCTAGGTTCATGCTAGCAATTGTATATACGTTACGTATACATATCCTTGCAATGTGTACATGGCACTTGTCAAATCGGAGGTGAAGAGGAACGTCACACCGAAACCATGGAGGGTGGTCAATCAAAAGACACGGATACGCAGTTTATATCCTTCCACGATTTCCCATCGATGAGTCATGCCGGCAACACCGAGGGACAGCTGGGTTCCGGAACTTCCACCCAGCCGCCCTTTAATAACCTCCCAAATGACTCTATGGATATCGGCATGATAGAAGATCTGCAGGGAATGCCTGACAGAACCGAAGGTTTGCAGTCTTAATTTCTCCGAGAATCCCTCCCTTTTTATTTTCCGTCGACAGACAAGTATCATTGTATTCTAAAACAAGACCGCATTGTTTATCAGGTACTCCTCGTAGCTTCTGGACAATCGAATATTATCAAAAATTTTTCAACGTCAACACGAATGATGTCTTGGAGAGACTCAAACGATCCATGATACCACATGGTAGCGACAATTATCTTATAACACACATAAGGCCGAATCCAGACTTATATGGACCCTTCTGGATATGTGTCACTTTGATATTCTGCATTGCGATCAGTGGAAACATGGCAGACTATTTGCAGACCATTAATTCTGACAAGTATCACTGGAAATACAACTTCCACGTCGTGTCATATGCGGCTACTTGTATATTTTTATATGCATGGTTTCTACCATTAGTACTGTGGGGTGCATTAAAATGGACTAGTAGTTCAAGAAATACCGAAGAAGAATTGATTGAGGTTTGTTATCAAATATTTTTTATCGTTTCAATCTTATCTCCAATATTATTTATTATGCTTTCACATAATCTTTGTTTTCCAGTCTTATGCTGTCCCAGGGCTCTTAGAACTTTTATGTCTGTATGGATATTCCTTAAGCATTTATATTCCAATTACTTTTCTGTGGACAATTCAAATTAACTGGTTGCAATGGAGTCTAGCCATATTAGCGACGTTTTTATCTGGAGGAGTTTTACTGAGATCATTGTTTCCTGTAATCACAGGTAAAAATCTCTAAAAGATATAGAAAATGCATAGAGAGAACAATTCAAGTGAAATAAGTTAATCTGAAAAATAAAAATTAATAGTGTCAAATGAAAGGAATAATTTTAATAATTTATCTTTACAGGGAGACATAGGATTATATACGTTGTTGTAATTCTGGGTATGCATCTGCTATTGGCAGCAGGATTTATATTATATTTTTTTCACGCGTCATCCAAGTTTACCGTAACAACCAAGAGTGAATTGATGGCTTCCTCTACACAGGCCAATGTATTGCATAAACTAGCACAAAACAGTTCTATTATAGAGCCAACGTCGGCATCTTGAAATCTCCAGCTATGGACCTGGTAATTTATCTCCAAGACTATCGAATTGTCTATTCATTATGTGTATATCGAATTTTACTTGAAGGAATATTGTCCCTGATTTATATATCAATCAAAATATATACCGCACATGGCGCTAATAAATTTTCATGTAGAAAAATTGGTATTTATACTACAATTGTAAACTCTATAATAAGGTAAGAATAAAATGTATCCTGATCTTTAGACGTTTCTATGAAGACAAACCGATTTAATGGTCCCGCTAGGGCTAAGCATTTTGTTTTCAGAATAATGACGAGACCGATGAAGTGTCTGGTTGATTTATTTCACAGCCCTACTGCAATATAGGGGCGCGTTACATCAACGCAACACACATATCATTTACAATCATACGAAATAATCTCCACGACGTTGTACATAATGCGTGATCGCGCGGTATTAGTACTTATAATACAATAGATTGTTATATTATTAATCGCACATAATTCATCAGTATCTTGCTCATTTACCAATGTGACAAAAGGCAACATTTATTTTGTAGTTGTTATCGTTAATGTTATTATCGTCGGTGTATTCGAGATATATATATATATATATATATATATATCATGACAATAGTAATTCACTCGCCGTTGCGGTGGAAATCGCGTGATCGCAAGACAATTCGTGTCGTCGGTATGCTGGTGAACGTATGCTGCCTTGAAGCAGCGATTCGGATTCGAATACCGCATTGTTTAAGCCTCGCTACCGAAAAGGAATTACAAAATTGAAGCTGCAGCTAAGAAAATTCTTCTCTCACCAATGATGCGCCACGAATTGATACTCTGCGAGGAAAGAATTTGACATAGCTCAAAAACTGATACTCTTTGAAAATCATATTCCTCGGAATATATCACCGACGGAAAATCGTCTCGATGGGACTCGCTTGCAAGCCTAGTCGATGTGAGCGTTGTATGCACATATAAAACACGAGAAAAACTCACGGGTAAAAGTCTAGAATTATGCGTCGAGCACCTGTCGAGTTAAGCTATATTCAATTGTACAAATCCTCAGATAAAATTTTTTCATTTTTTTTTTTTTTTTTTGTTAAAGTGATCTATGTCTGTAATAATGGACAAGTTACATTTTATGAAGAGAAACCGGCCATTGATTGCGTCCAGATTAATTCTGAACAGCTAATGTCTATTTTTATCAATGTAGATTAACTTTAATCTCGGTTTATTTCATTTTTCTCTTTTCTTAATTCTAAGGATTAGAAAAAAGTAAAGAGTGAATTAAACCAAGATTAAAGTTAATCTAACATTGGTAGAAAAGAACATTTGCTTTTTCTAAAGAGTATGTATATTATATAGAATGTGTTACAGCTAACGTTACATGATCTAGCGAAAAAACATTTATCGTACATAGATCAAGAAAAATGGAATTTTGCGACTTGACAGGAGAGAATCAAATACACTTGGTATCCAAGCACACGCGATCTTTGCCGTTTTCCTTTCGCAAAATTATAATCACGGGGTGCTCGACGACTGTCGGGAGGCTGTAACACTGAAGGTTGTTATAGTTAAGATGTTACACCGCTAGTGCTCACAACGACATTGGTCCGACGTATTTACTAGATATTGCAGTCACAGATTGCGAATAGGCAGGGACGATAATAATTAAGAAATCTATGACAGTCTGTATAATATGTACCGAATTATCGTTTCACATCTTTGCCCTACTGAAACGCCGTCGGCGTTACTCACGCTGGCCCTTCCTTCCCACCATCTTATTGTGATCCCCATAATAATAATAATACATTTACAGTAGCGCGTGCTCGAGATGCATCAGCGAAATAACGCCGTCGTTTATTTACAATATAATATCACGCCGGGCGTCGTTATGATACACACCGCAATTGTTTCGTTCACTGCTCCGACGATGACGATCGCGCGTCGTGTATATGAATCGTTAACGCGTTAACGTTATTACACATACACGTAATTAATATGTACCCTGGTTTTTAATCAATTGTTACAATATACGTATATAACAATACTCGCGAACAATACGCGCTTGTTTTACACAACGTCGGTAGAACGTCGGCGAACCGACGTCGCGATAAAGCGAGCGGATCCTCCGCCAGCAAACTATACATTTACGCGGGCGTAGATATATCCTGCCAAACTCCTTCTTCTATTACAGATAATTTCAGATTGATTATTCAGTCGCGTGCTTAAGTTAATAATTACGTACTCATAGAGTCACAGTAGTGTAACAACGTACTGAACTTGAAACGCGAGGCTTCGCGGTAACGAAAAGGAGACGACGCACTGCGGCTGGTATTGTAGGATCTCAAAAAAAAAAAAAACGCAGTCTCGCAACATTAAACCTCTATAATATAAAATGCAGTTTAACGAAATGTGATAGAAACTGTACAAATCGCGAAGTATCTCGTCATTCGTACTTTACTTCCTAGTTACTCTAGGATATATATATATATATATTATTTCGAAAAAAAGATTTCCAATAGAGTTTCAAGTAATCAAGTGTGAAACGATTTGCGGAACGATTTCACGTTCTTACCGCACGTAAAATCCGACACGTGTGTGTGTGTGTGTGTGTGTGTGTGTCGTACGAGG